GGCCCCTGCTCAGGAAAACAGAGGCAAAGCAATCATTATATCGGTTAGCTTTGTCATCTGGTGTGATAACCAGATTTCCTAGCTTGTCCTGTAGGGGCCCACGTTACCCGGTACCGTCTTTTTGCCCCCTATGTATTTAAAAAAGGGACTTCTTGTTGCTAGGGATTATTAGAGAGAGGAATCATAAATCAAACAGAAAATGTCACAATGCCCCTTTACACATCCATGGTGCATCCACACCTTGAATCCGGTGCCCTGTTCTGGTCCCCGCAGCTCCAAAAGGATCTAGAGGAGCTGGAGAAGGTGCAGAGAAGGGCAACAGGGGTGATGAGTGCTATGGAGGGGCTTCCCAGTGAGGAGAGACTGACGGGGCCAGGCTGGTCAGCTTAGACACGAGACACTGGAGGGGGGACAGGAGGAGGTTTCCAAAGTACTCAGTGGAGAAGAGAAAGTCACTCGGTATTTATTACTGTTTAAAACGAATGCCAAGATGTGTTGTTTCCCCCAGCGCAGCATGAAAGGGGGAGCTCGTGGCCCCCAGCTGCGGTGGGAGCTGAGAGCTCAGCCAGATTCACACCGGGTCGGACACATGCTTGGAGAAAGGGGGCATTGGTCACAATTGAGCATGGGAGTGCAGGGCACAGCCTCTGCACCAGACCTGCCTGGACCTTAAAGGCTGCAAGGGAGAAAGGAACAAGGGAAAACCCTGCTCATCCCCAGGTCACTCTCCCTTCCAGCCTTCACTCTCTGCCCACGTGACACCGAAGACTGGGCAAGGGGAACCTAGGTCTGACCCAGCACAGGGCAGCTCTTCTGCTCCTATGTTCTTATGTTTAATCCTCCGCCCAGGCAATTAATCTGCAGTGGCTGCTCCAGTGCAGGTCCACACCCTCACTTGAATGCATGACCTGGGCAGGCAAGCGCTCTGTCGACCCACACTGTTGGGGTGTGACCTGGGTCCCCAGCAGCCCTGTGGTTGAGATGAAGGGCACAGGGCTGACCAAGCCCTGGAATCACTGCACTGGGGGAAACGCCACGCTTCAAGGTGGTCTGATCAGGGCAGAGAGAAATGCTGTGGTGTCTCAGCGAAAGGTCGTTACAAGTTTTCTATGGAGAAAATCCATCCAAGGGCTGGATGCCAGCAAGGGCTCTGGGGCTGGAGTGGGGAGCCTGCAAGCCCTCGTGTCCCCCACCCCAAACCACACGTATGGCAGGGATGTCCTGGAAGCCCACGCTATCAGGGGGCCGGCCAGGTGAGCTGGCTGGAGATTGGCCAGGTCCCAGTGGGGCACAACCGGCCTTCCTTTGCCAATCCATCAAAACAGAAATTCTCCTAGCACCTTGGCACGCTGGGAAACATGCCCCTGGGGGTGGCTGGCCAGTCCCCACCTGGGGCAGCAACAGGTCTATGCCAACACGCAGACAGGAATTTCCTATCATACCCACTTCGTGTCATTTCCAAATGCTTGCATCCTTGGGAAACCCACCCCAATCCACGCCGAGAACTCAAGGCAGGCCATGTTTTGGTGTAGAGAAGCATTCAAAACACCAAATCGAACCACTTCAACTGGGCAATCAAACTTCTCCAACACCTGGCTGGAGGGACTATGGGAGCAGCTGGTTATCCCCCTGCAACATTCAGTCACAGCCGGCATGGAGCCACTGGGTCACCAGTCCCATCCCCTCTCTAGTCCATCCCTGGTAACCTCACGTGTCCCCAGAGCTTCAGCTCCCCCTCCTCTGTATCTGCACCTTGGTCACCTCTTTGTTGCCCTCTCCCTACCTCAGCCCAATTTACTCTACTTTAACCCCCACTGACCCCCTAGATTTGAAAACAGCAACGCTGGATTTCTTTCCCGCCTGTCCAAGGCTCTGCACAATGCAGCTTCACCTGACTGCATCTCCCAACCATCTTCCTAAACCAGCTCTTAGCAGTGAAGGCAAGTGGATCACAGTTTCTAGCTAAGCAGTCTCCATGTGCCCCATCGTAATTCATTTTCCAGCAAAATAGGCATAAGTCACCAGGGGCCAAAGGAGCCTTTTCCAGTGATCCCTCCCAAATCCTGGGGCTGGAAAACTCTACCGAGAAACATACCCAGGAGGGAAGCAGAGTTCAATTCTGAATACACCAAATATGAGTATTAGAAACCCACCATCCTACACATGCCCCTTTCAGTCTGCCAGGGCTCTGCCATCTTTGCCAGGGCATGGGCTTCACTGCCAGGTCAAAGCCTGGATGCTCCTATGCAAGTCCCACAGACAAGCCTGTTCCCCTTTCTTTCCATTATCCCACCAAATGGAGCGATGGGCAAAGACAGGGCCATGCCCACGCCATTTCAGTCGGCTGCAGTGAGCCCCCATTTGGGATACTGGGTAGAAGTGTGGTCACTCTTGTTCCAGACAGATGAATTCATATCATACAGCGAGGATAGGAAAGAGCTGCCAGATGATCAGAGAACTGGGGAGCTTATCACACAAGAGGACACCAGAAGAGCTTGGCTTCTTGAACCCAACAAAATGGAGGCTGGAAGAAGTGTTTAGGCTAAAGATAATGCTGATTGGAGAACAAATGGGGAGCAGAGGAGTCTGAGCTCAGACCATCCAGACAGCCACTTCCAAAGCAGGGTCCCACAGCAGCATCTGGTCTCAGCCCTGGCCTCTCCAAACTCTCCTCAATCCTGAATTCCCCAGTGCACCTATGCAAACTATCCCAGTTTTCCCAGTGCTCTTCAGAGGCACCTCACCCCTGCTCCATGGCGGCCTTGGGACAACAGTCTCAAAACAAGAGGTCTTGGGCTGTACTTGTAACCAGGGTCATGGAACAGCAGTCCTGCTCAGTGAAAAGCCGCTGGGTTTCCAGTAGGGTCCCACAGGTGTGCAAGCTGCTATTTAAACCGACTTAGCAACACTGGGACAAGAGGGCTGACAATTCTTGGATGTGCAAACAGAGGAATATCAAGTATAAGTGAAGGGGTTAGATCCCGGCAGAGGCTACTACTGAAATCCTGTATCAGGAAGAATGTCAATCAGAGGAAAAGGGTAGATGAAAACAACCTAAAACCACACTTGCATTTTGGTTCTCAGGCATCTCAACCTAGGTAAACTGTGCAGGCAAATAGGTCCATAGCCACCTGCATCCAGAACAGAAAGGGAAAAACAGAGGGCAAAGATCTAACTTGGTGATTCTCAACCACGGTGCTGCATCCACCTACTAGTAGGTGTACAAACACGATTTACAAGATACACCCAGAGTTTTCAAACAGGAATCCTTCCCGTTAAAGACATTCTGGCCAGTTGGGGTCTGTTCAAGTTCTTTGCAACAGATGCATTGTTCTATTACTCTCCTGTGGTCAAAAAAACCAAATGAAAATTAAGAGCTGACATTTTCAGAGGGGGACTTTGGGTCAATCAAGGGTGCCTCGAACTTAACAAGGTTGAGAACCACTGGTTTAATAAGGGCTAACGGCTAGGAGTCACACACAGGTATACTCAGAATAGACACTGAAACAAAGGGGCCTGGTGGCTTTATACACACACACATAGAGGATGCTTTCACAATCCTGAAGACACAAGATCACAGGAAAGCAGGGCTGGAAGGGACTTCAAGAGGGTACATGTAACCCAACCCCCTGCTCCCAGCAGGATCAGCCCCAAATAAATCATCCCAACCTTATGTCCATCCAACCTGCTCAGGAAAATTTCCAGAAAGGAAGATCCCACAGCTTCTCTAGGAGCCTGCTCCAATGCTTGAACCACTCTCAGGGTCAGGAAGTTCCTCCTCATCTAGAGCCTCAGTTTCCCCTACTGCAGCTGGAGGACATTGCTCCTAGCCCTACTCCCTGCAGTCACAGAGAAAAACCCGTCTTCATCCTTTCTGT